CCGAGACGCTTCCTCCCCCTGCCAGTCAGCTCCGCGATGACGGAGCACCCCACCCGGCCGCTATCTGCTGCTGCGGAGCCTGCCGGGGTCGGGCAGCCCGTCCCTGTGAATGCCGGTACCGAGCCGGTTCCACGGGGTGGGCCGAAGAGGTGGAGGGCGCCGCGTGCACGGGAGCTCCGTGCCGGCGCCTCTCCCTTCGTCTCGCCGTCGCGCTGCGCTCCCTCGCCTGCAGGGAAGCCTGTGGAGGAGCGCGCTGCGGCGTTTGAGGAAGAGCCAGCGGAAGCATGCGGCTAAGCTGCACCCTCTCTTCCTCTAGGCGGTTGAAGCGCTGAGTGACCGAGGTTATCGACCCGAAGAGCCCCTCCGTGGACACGGGGGCTCCAAGGAGATCCTCTCGGTCCTTCTTGGATAGGGCGGTGAGTCCTAACCACACGTGACGCGACGCCACCGTGGCCAAGGACATCACCCGCCCCGCTGCGGCGGCCACCCCATGGATCAGATTGTTCATCTGACCAATGCAGCGGTCCGGATAATTGCTCCCGTCCTGAGGCGGGAGGGCGGGGGTGTCCGTCTGAGAGGTAATCAGGGAGACACCCAACACGCCGAGATTATTCTCCGCAGCCGCCATCTGTGCCCCGAGCCTGAATATTCTATCCAAATATTCTAAGGTGTCTCTGTCCCGCGACAGCAGGGGGCAGAGGTTTCTTTCCCTCCGCCCAACCAGCTGCCTGCGGAAGCAGATGGGACCAGACAACGAGGCGTCCTCGTCGTCTTCCTCCTCCGTGAACATGGCCACCCGGCCCCTCGGGATGGCGAACACGAATGGCACCTCGTCATCCTGTTCACCCATCTCCACCACCTCGAGGTCCTGATCCTCCGCCTCCTCCGGCGGGCCGAACTTCAACCGGAAATGAGGCCTCCTTTTATACGGGGAGATGCGCGCGCATTCAGGTAGGCCCGCTCCGGGGCCGACTACGTTTATAGAAGTCTCAATGGATGAATGCTTACATGATATGGCGGCTGTGGCTAGAGTGCAGGACTTCGAATCAGGGGGTAGCAAGTTCGAGTCCCACTGCAGTCAGCATGTCGTTGTGTCCCTGGGACACTTCACCCAAATTGCTCCTGTGGGGATTGTCCACAGTACTGAATGTATGTAAGTCACTTTGGATAAAAGCGTCTAACAAATGACATGTAATAATATGATCAAGGGGTAGTACCCATAGAGATATAACAGAGAGGGTTTTGTTTTCTGACACTTTGTGAGTTCCCTTACACACCGGGGACACATATTTATGTATAAAATACATCAAAAAGTGCATTTTGAATGAGAGGAGACCTTTAAGTAAAGAACATCACCAATTATGTTTAGTATATATATTATTTATATTTACGCATTATATTTAACTCTTAGTCGCAGCAAGACTAAGAACCCTTTCTGGTTGGCATCACTTTTGTTGCTCTGAATAGATTCATCTTATCAATTAAACGCACCATTTTAATACAGTATACTAGGAGAGGCCTCTTTCTCTTGGGATTCTCTTTTTGTGGGTTGCAACAGGGGTCTATCATGGGCCGTTTCTCAATGTCGAGTAAACCTGCTGCAGAGCCACTATTTCAAGTATACTACGTCATCGAGTGGCGCCGAAGGACTATTTTAAATGCATGTTAAATGCCCAGCATTCGGCGCCGCTCAATTACGTAGTATACTTGAAATAGTGGCTCTGCAGCAGGTATACTCGACATTGAGAAACGGCCATGGTCTCTTTTTATTGACTGAATACATGCTACCAATAGCGATTTACATTGCTAAGCAAATGCTACGGATCTTTAGCATACTAGTATACTTTTGAACATTAGTAAACTCCCTGTGCTGAAATACGTCGGAAGCAGCGACGTGCAGTCAGTGGAGGCAGGGGAGGCAGAGCCTCACCTGTCATACTCCAATGTAACGGAAAAACAACTAAAGAAAAACGAAATAGTAATAATAATAAAATGTCTCCACTGATCTGTGTTGTAAGTGTGATTTATGTATGATTCTAATCGCTTTTTATAGTCAAAATCAGCAAATTTGCCGAGCTCCGCTACGGGAGCGATGACAAGTGAGGCAGGCACGTGCTCTGCCTCTCGTAAGCCCACAGTAACTTGCTGGAGCGCGGGCACTCATTTAGCGCGGGCACTTATTTTGTGAGCGCGCTCAAGCCAGTTACTGTGGGGTGAGGTGAGGCACAGATGAGATCTGCCTCACCTCAGAACGCGTCACCCCACAGAAACTGGCTGGAAAGCGGGCCCTAAGCGCATGCCTGTTACCATCTCACTGTAGGTCACCAATGTAATGTATGTAGATCCCTTTATTACATTTATCCTCGCCATCCATAGTCTCTAAATAACTTATTTCACGTATATATGATATTTAGGCTCGCTGGTCTCAACGGCAATGAAAATGCACCAGGGGAGGCAGCCATAACCTCTGCCGCACTGAAGGGGGCGCACGTGAGCCCACAGGTTCTTGTTGCTACTGTAATTCTACGCAGAGACGGTAGACGCAACAACAAACTAGACTTTTGAAACTACAGGAAGATAAGGAGGACTTTTACAAAAAAGTTATAGAGATTGTTGTCCCGAAGGATAGCATGGACTTCATCTTCAAGTCAAGGTAAGACCACATTTGTAATGAAAATGGGATCTTACTAAGAAAGAACAATCCAATATTTAGATTTTGGGTATCCTTTTGTTGAACGGTCTGTTTAAAATGAATCGAATCATCAGACTAAAAAAGCTTTTGAAAATAACCGAATATTTCGATTAAGGTCAAAATATAATATTTGTAAATCTGACTCAGGTTCACCAGCCATGAACCTCACCGCACGTCACTGGTCGGAAGGCCGCTTTTGATCAAATTATTTGAATAAAATGTAAAATCTTACTTAAATGTGGGGTAGGTAAGTTTGAGAAACCGGCTCGAGATACACTTTTTGTTATATTCCATGGAATGCTCTTAACATCCCGATCTTAAGTGCTTTGACCTAAAATCCATAAAAAAATGTCATCTGTGGAAGCCGTAGTACTGTAAAAAGCACGACCAATCATTTTAGCCGGCCCGGCTAAAATAACTGGATGGCCTACCTGCCTGTCAGCCTTCCATCTGTGCACAAACTTATCTCGTGCCCTCATTGGTCATATGCGCGTTCGTGTGTGTTGGAGGAGGGGCTCTGTAAGAAAGTGGCAGATTTTTTCTGGTTGTGTATTTTCAAATTCTAGCACACTCGAGCCGGTTTCTCAAACTTACCTACCCTACCTTTAAGCACAGCATGTTTTGGATGCTCTGTTTTAGCACTGCATCTGTACACATATCAACGGATCAATGTTATACACATATTAACAGGAAAATAGTTGGGGTGGTGCTCTTGGATTTTGTTGCAGCTTTTTATGTCATTGACCACAACATTCGTAAAGTAATGGTTTTCCACATGTAGCTCTTGCTTGGGTTTTATCTTTGGTAGAACACAGAGTATTTTTCAATGGCAGTTTTTTCAGAGGGCAAACCTATTTCTTGATGTTTTCCTAAAGAAAGCTCAATACTGCCACATCTTGAGTACAAACAAGTCATTGTTCGAATACAGCTAAGAAAGATAATAAACTCAAATCGCACTAAAGAGTGCACCCAGATGAGTTATTTATTTACTTGTCACTAAAGACAAGATTGAATGCTATTGTGATGATAAAAACCTGATTTAGTTAAATGTTAGATAAATTGAACCCAACTTTCTTGCAGTGTTCAGTGCGCTGCTGTGCAGTGTTTTGATGTCTGATAAAGCCTCACAGATCTACATCCTGGATCGTATTTCACACACAAACTGAGTGGGTTTACTACTGACAGAGACAGAGCAAAACTTCACAAGTTTTTCACCCAAATACCACAAATTGGACACACTCAGACCAAAACCAAATCTGTAAACTTTGAGGGAAAACTGACATTAATATGGAAGCAGAATCTGTCAGAGCATGCCACAGCCTGAGGGGAAAACTCAATGCAAGCAACTACAGAGCTCCTTCAAAGCTGCAGCACTTGTCCTATTGCTATCACAACCACATATTTCTATAAGTGCCTGTAGATTCAAAGATAAAAAGGTTTTATTCTCATATGCACAAAAACTACAGCATAGTTATTGGCAATGAAATCATAAGTCCTGGGTACAGACAACAGTTCAACACATACAATATACTTAAAGAGGACATATCATTCTCCTTTTCAAAATCATATTTGTATTTTTGTTAAAAACACAAATGTGCCAAAATGCATGCAAATGAAGAAACACCTTCACCAACTTATCAACACATGCGCTGCATTATAAAACATTTACCAACTTGAATATGTGCAGCTAACCCTAACCCTAGTGTACGAATAGGAACAAGAAGTTGTATATTATATATAAGTAGCCTAATTTAAATTGCAGCTAAAATGTGTGATTCTATGTTTTTTCTAACACGTAGCATTACCTCCTATAAGCTATAGTTAATCTTGCCTTCTGAGGTCAGTGGTTAGATCTGATAGCGGGGTGAAGTGATGTCGGTTCAGCAGGAGGAGTCAGGAGAGTGAGAGAGAGTGAGTGAGTGAGAGAGAGAGAGAGAGAGAGAGAGAGAGAGAGAGAGAGAGAGAGAGAGAGAGAGAGAGAGAGAGAGAGAGCTAGCGATGAGGCGAGTCGAGCATGAGCTCGATAGATATCATCTCTCTAGCGATCTCTTCTCGCTCTCGACGCTCTAGCGCTCTCTCGCTCTATCTCTCTCTCTCTCTCTCTCGCTCTCGCTATTCTCTCTCTCTCGCTCGCTCGCTATCTCGCTTCTTCTCTCTCTCGCTCGCTCTCTCTCTCTCTCTCTCTCTCTCTCTTCGCTCTCTTCTGCTCTCTCTCTCTTCTCTCTCTCTCTCTCTCTCTCTCTCTCTCTCGATCCTCATGGCTCGCTAGCTCTATACTGAGCGTCAGCTCTAGATCTCATCCTTCGGGGGAGATGCTGTCCCCACCGAGGCGATGGATCAGGGACCAGTCTCCGGGCTCTGTCACCTCGTAAGTCCGCTCCTCTTCTGCTCGCTCTCCTGCTTCCCGCTCTCTGATTGTTTAACATTCCAGAAACAGCCTCAGCGGTTTGTAGGACGAATACAGAATATATTAGTTATAATTTGCTAGTAAAAAAATACCCTCTCTCCTCCTTCAGACGGTCGGTCCAGTCCAAGTGAACTCATGCAGGCTGTCTATAGGAGTGCAACAACTTAAAGTCTATCTCTATTTCTGCTGTAAAACTGAATGTTAAACACAATATAAAGGAACGATTTGGTAGAAAGTTCCAGAGGTTTAAATGAGCTTTTGAACCGATCATACCATGGCTGAATTGAGTTAAAAATGTTTCTTATCACACTTACATTATGTGACCAAGACTCTTTTTGAATTGTTTCCAAATGTGTGCAAGTTACCTTAAAATTAGCGACGTGAACTCTAGTGCTAAATCGATTAGTTGCTTTATCAATTAGTAAAGCACGGAGCCCCTAAAGGGACATGGAAAAAAAGAAAAAAAAAGAGAGAGAAAAAAAAAAGTCCGGATAACGGGTTAGTATCTCGTGCTCACGAGAAACTACACACACACACACACACACACACACACACACACACACACACACACACACACACACACACACACACACACACACACACACACACACACACACACACACACACCACACACCTCTACACACATCGAACTGTTCTATTACTCGTTTTATGAAGGAGATGTCCGGTCACCAGGGCGCATGATGTGTAAATAACCCAATTTGTGTTCTGTGAAACTGAAAAGGATATGACATTATTTTTGTTACTTTCGTTGCAGTTGTATGTCTTAAATGTAATTTAGGTTAACTTCCTGTTTTATTTAGATGCTTTTATTTTGAAGGCGAGTTTACGCTGTTGACAGGAAGTTGTTGTTGCTCTGGAAACATGAAATGCTACATGATGTGTGTGTGTGTGTGTTTGTGCTCTGCTCAGCTCTGTGTGGGTGTGTGTGTTCGGTGTATGTGTGTGTCCGACACCGGCATTTGTTTTCCAATTACCATGAACAGTAATTTACACACATGTGTATTCCCAAGTGAAAGAAGTTCGTTTAATCTCGATGTAGGCTAGTGCTAAATACTGTCAGAGTGCACTGGAAAAAACGCCACTATCATAATATCTTCTGAAAACAAATGCCCGCCCACACACACACACACATACATTTGATTATTTATACAAATTAAAAACACATTTTTAATTTTTTTTTATTAATTATAAATAAACTGAACTTTAATGCTACGATGTATGTGATTAGTAATATAAGAGTAATAAATGAAAAACATGAAATGAAATACTTAGGGCTGTCAGTCGATTAAAAATATTTAATATTTAATATATTTAATATATATTTAATCGCGATTAATCGCATGATTGTCCATAGTTAATTGCGATTAATCGCGCGTGTGTGTGTGTGTGCGTGTGCGTGTGCGTGTGTGTGAGAATGTGGAGACACTGTGATGGATCGTTGGAGCTATGTGCAGCTCAAGGCATATACTGTATGCTCGAAGGTGAGCTGCCTGGACGCTGCAATCATGTTGCGCGCACTATCCATGCTGAGTGTGCTGACTTTTCGTACAATGTCCCACTGTCTGGCTACCTGCATAAAGTCAAGTGCTCGGCGCAGTTGTCGGCGAAATGTCGCTCCTCTGTTTTCATTGAAACAGCTCCTTATATCCGTTAGCGCAGCTAGCTAGCACCAGATGCTAACAACAACAACAACAACAACAACAACACGTAAGGTGTGCCTCGCTCGCGCCCATAGACTGTATTGCCACACATACACACACCCTCCCGGTCCTCCCGATGGCCAGTCCGGGCCTGCCGGTGAAAAGTGGAAGTGTGGTCTGCCACAAGCGGGCGGCAGGAGCGGGGCTGTCAGCACTCAGCATCAGCTTGTAGATGGTATTTTAAACTCGATGCACTCTGAAACTACGGGGCGGCCGTTAACGCATTATTAACGCGTTAACTTGACAGCCCTAGAAATACTATATGACAGTAAAACAAGAATAGAGTTAAAGTGTGATTTGCAAAATATCCATAAAGAAAAAAAAGTAAATCTGTTTACAGTTCTGTTTCATATGGGTGTTGAGAGATGTATCCAGAGATTTTGCTCTCAAAGTGCACCAGATTGATGCTTTTAACTTCGATATTAAAACAAAAATCTTCCCTGGGGAGCATGCCCCTGGACCACCCTAGAGGAGGTTAAGTCCACCCCCCACTTAAAAAAAATTGCATTTTACCCCTGCTTACACCTATATGCCGTGAGCTGATTATCGAGCCTTCATTGTAACGGCCCGTCCACACGGCGGCGTGCGTTGAAGCTTCAACGCTTCTTCCCATTCACTTTGAATGGGGTGACGTCACGCTTTGCCGAACTGCATTGTGGTTCCGTCGCTTCGCTTTCCTCGCGTTGCTCGCTGCAAAAGTTGAGAAAAGTTCAACTTTTGAAGCTTCGACGGAAGCGTCAGCCAATCAAATCATATGCCAGTACAAGCTCTAGCCAATCAAACCGTGTGCTTGTGTGTCCGGGGCGGGAGATTCATGTGATTGGTTGTTGGTCGAGTTTCAGACATGCCCACCGGCAAGCTTCAACGCACGCCGCCGTGTGGACGCTGCGTAACAGTCGCGGGTGTACTGTGTGTGTGTGTGTGTGGGGAGTGTTGCAGTAGAAAATTCCACTGTAGCGCCCGGTACATTAATGGGAAACCCTACATGTTTGAGCACCCTCTATGAAACGTCAAGCCAGGGGCGGACTGGGACTCAAATTCAGTCCTGGAATCCGACCCAGTCCGGCCACATGAAATGTCAACGGGGGGGGGGTGACATCGGAAAAGAAATACAGTACTATTAGTTATTAGAAAACAGCTGTTTATTAGGCTGCATTATGCAGTTCAAGGGATAATTCTCACCTAAAGACGGAGGACACTCCTCAGATGTCTTGAACACATACATACAGTACTATTTGTTATTATTAGAAATCAGCTGTTTATTAGGCTGCATTTATGCAGTTCAAGGGATAATTCTCACCCACCTCTTGCTCTTGCCCTGCACTTGTATGTGCCAGTTGAGCTGGTTCTTCCACCAGCTCAACTCTCTGTCCCTCATCATGAACGCTGGAGGCTGGCTGTATATCTGAACTCGCGCCCTCATCATTGTCTTCATCATCTTGCACTTGTTCTGAGCTGCTGATGATAGTGCTTGTAGCAGCGCTGCTGCCAAAAAGGTCTGTCAATTTGCGACATTTATATGCTTCACCTGCGAGTGACTTCACCTTTTTTTCTCTTGCTTTCTCGGCCCCACCTTTTTCTTTTCGTTTTCTTTGATTTTTATCCATGTTTTTTCATTCTCCCTGTCTGCCGCGGCGTCTAATCCCTTCTCTTCGAGTGGCCGGTCTTTTTTCTTCTTCGTGTGTGATTATTTGACAGATAAGAACCACACAACTGCATTAGCGGCCGCTGTCGCCCTCTGTCGGCCGTCAGCGCAACTTAAATGATGACGTTAAACAATTTTTTTTTAATGGGCTGGCTGGCCGTCAACGGCCCTTGACGACCGGCCGTTCTGTGGTTCTCCAGATTCTACAGATGTCCGCCCCTGCGTCAAGCTACCCCACAGCACCCCCAAAAGAAAATCTCTGGCGCCGCTACTGGCCGCAGCACATGACGGTTTTGTGTGCCCTCCCATGTAGATTTGTTCTGGCGCCAGGTCTGGCCCCGCCTCTCCCCACCTCTCCCCACCTCTCCTGCTCACCCCCGTGTCACCCGCGTCATTGCTGATGTGTTTCGCCAACAACAACAACCGAGTGTTTCGAGCCAGGTCCCGGTATCTCGCAGGACAGTGCACCCAGCAGGAGCCTCCAGCTAGATTTGATCGATATGGACGTAAACGCGAGTGAAGTCTAATCGGACAGGAGAGAGGGATCAGAGATCAGCTGCTGCTGACGGAGACACGCAGCTCTGCATGATCACCTGCAGCTCCGCCCGCTGTGATGGAGCGGTGAGCGGAGCAAAACACACACTTTACCTCTCAAACTACCTAAACTAGTTATAAATATGTTTATTTTTACTGTCGGGTCACTCATTACTGGATCAGCCAGCTGCATGAGACGGATACTGACGGGCTGTCAGGAGAGGGGGAGGAAAAGAGAGACCACGTTTATTATTCTTATATTATTATATAGAGTCGTTATCAATTTGTTTTAAAGCTCAATAAATAACAAAGAAGACCTTTGACACTTTTCTAATAACGGACATGTTGACATTGAAAAAACAGAAGGGCAACCAGGCAACCATGGCAACCATGCTTGGGAGGTCTTCTTCGCTGCTTTTGGTGTATTTTGTGGCGGAAGTACAGCGCCACTTACAGGCCGGCATATGTACTACAGCGTCTCCAGCGGGTCGAGCGGTCTCATGTGGACTTTTTTGATATTGAATTCGGTTCATTTTCGTTTCCGTCTCCGTGTAAATGGGGCCTAATGCCTCACTCATTTTCAAAGATTTTGGCTACATGTGAGCAGGCATTCATGTTGTATTACCTAAAGGTGGGAGAAGTACTCATATCTTGTACTTCAGTAAAAGTAGAAGTACCAGAGTGTAGGAATACTCTGTTACAAGTAAAAGTCCTGCATTCAATATGTAACTCAAGTAAAAGTACAAAAGTATTAGCATCTTAATATACTTAAAGTGAAGGTAAAAGTATTAATTATGCAGCTAATTTCAGAATAGTATATATGATGTGTTTTCATTATAATGATTGATCATTAAAGTGTTCTCAAAGCTGGTAAAGGTGCAGCTGGTTTTAATGACTTTGTATACTGCAGGGTAGCTTGTGAATTTAATCCAGGTGGAACTAAAGTCTGATTTAACACTTGATTATATTTCACATCATTAATCCAAATCTGTGAAGTAACTAAAGGTATTAAATACATGTAGTGGAGTAACACCATTAACCTATGAATTATAGTGGAGTAG